TCATGGTGTAGGCTTACAATGGCCGAGCCACTCATTGTGTGGGCGAGACACAACTCCTGGCTGAGTTGTTTTGCCTTCGTACGTCCTCGGGTATTTTGGCTCTAACTCTCTCGTCCGATCTCGGAATGAGATGATTCAAGATGCGTTAGAAAGCTCACAAAGAGACTTACAACTTTCAATGGCCAAGCCACTCATGGTGTAGGCTTACAATGGCCGAGCCACTCATTGTGTGGGCGAGACACAACTCCTGGCTGAGTTGTTTTGCCTTCGTACGTCCTCGGGTATTTTGGCTCTAACTCTCTCGTCCGATCTCGGAATGAGATGATTCAAGATGCGTTAGAAAGCTCACAAAGAGACTTACAACTTTCAATGGCCAAGCCACTCATGGTGTAGGCTTACAATGGCCGAGCCACTCATTGTGTGGGCGAGACACAACTCCTGGCTGAGTTGTTTTGCCTTCGTACGTCCTCGGGTATTTTGGCTCTAACTCTCTCGTCCGATCTCGGAATGAGATGATTCAAGATGCGTTAGAAAGCTCACAAAGAGACTTACAACTTTCAATGGCCAAGCCACTCATGGTGTAGGCTTACAATGGCCGAGCCACTCATTGTGTGGGCGAGACACAACTCCTGGCTGAGTTGTTTTGCCTTCGTACGTCCTCGGGTATTTTGGCTCTAACTCTCTCGTCCGATCTCGGAATGAGATGATTCAAGATGCGTTAGAAAGCTCACAAAGAGACTTACAACTTTCAATGGCCAAGCCACTCATGGTGTAGGCTTACAATGGCCGAGCCACTCATTGTGTGGGCGAGACACAACTCCTGGCTGAGTTGTTTTGCCTTCGTACGTCCTCGGGTATTTTGGCTCTAACTCTCTCGTCCGATCTCGGAATGAGATGATTCAAGATGCGTTAGAAAGCTCACAAAGAGACTTACAACTTTCAATGGCCAAGCCACTCATGGTGTAGGCTTACAATGGCCGAGCCACTCATTGTGTGGGCGAGACACAACTCCTGGCTGAGTTGTTTTGCCTTCGTACGTCCTCGGGTATTTTGGCTCTAACTCTCTCGTCCGATCTCGGAATGAGATGATTCAAGATGCGTTAGAAAGCTCACAAAGAGACTTACAACTTTCAATGGCCAAGCCACTCATGGTGTAGGCTTACAATGGCCGAGCCACTCATTGTGTGGGCGAGACACAACTCCTGGCTGAGTTGTTTTGCCTTCGTACGTCCTCGGGTATTTTGGCTCTAACTCTCTCGTCCGATCTCGGAATGAGATGATTCAAGATGCGTTAGAAAGCTCACAAAGAGACTTACAACTTTCAATGGCCAAGCCACTCATGGTGTAGGCTTACAATGGCCGAGCCACTCATTGTGTGGGCGAGACACAACTCCTGGCTGAGTTGTTTTGCCTTCGTACGTCCTCGGGTATTTTGGCTCTAACTCTCTCGTCCGATCTCGGAATGAGATGATTCAAGATGCGTTAGAAAGCTCACAAAGAGACTTACAACTTTCAATGGCCAAGCCACTCATGGTGTAGGCTTACAATGGCCGAGCCACTCATTGTGTGGGCGAGACACAACTCCTGGCTGAGTTGTTTTGCCTTCGTACGTCCTCGGGTATTTTGGCTCTAACTCTCTCGTCCGATCTCGGAATGAGATGATTCAAGATGCGTTAGAAAGCTCACAAAGAGACTTACAACTTTCAATGGCCAAGCCACTCATGGTGTAGGCTTACAATGGCCGAGCCACTCATTGTGTGGGCGAGACACAACTCCTGGCTGAGTTGTTTTGCCTTCGTACGTCCTCGGGTATTTTGGCTCTAACTCTCTCGTCCGATCTCGGAATGAGATGATTCAAGATGCGTTAGAAAGCTCACAAAGAGACTTACAACTTTCAATGGCCAAGCCACTCATGGTGTAGGCTTACAATGGCCGAGCCACTCATTGTGTGGGCGAGACACAACTCCTGGCTGAGTTGTTTTGCCTTCGTACGTCCTCGGGTATTTTGCCGCTCACAATGACATGAATGAGCTGCTCGTTGCATTGGCTTTTCCCTAGAAAGTAATTCTCGCAGATCAGGGATTTGAGAGTAATTCTTCGTCGGAGATAAGACCCTCTGTCTTTGAGGAGGCGAGACTTGTTCTTGTCGGACATGAATCTTAAGCCCGTGTTGACTCCTTTGTACTTGGCGGACCACATCGCGTTCTGAAACGCAAGGGTCGCGTTGTGATTTATAAACACCAGGCTTTGGCCTGCGTTTAGTTGATGAAACAGATCCCTTAGGATCATGTTTTGTTTGGACGCACCCATGGGGTGCGTTTTTATCCTTAACAGTACTGTGCTTTGGATGGACAACGCACCACTGAGGATCGCGTTTGAGCTGTATCACTCGAGGCTCGTAGTTAGGCTCATTGCCATGAAGTATGCGTTCTGGAGTAGGAACGCAGTCTTCGAGAACGCGATCCTCGCGTTGAACCAGGGATCGATTTTCTCGAAGATGCGGTCGTCGGATGGATCTTCTCCGTCTTCGAGCGGCATTCTTCTTGGCTTGTTTCAAAGTCTTGGTAGCAGCGTCGCCAGCATTAGTTGGGTGTTCTTCTGCCATAGGTCTCTTACCACCTATTGTACGCCGTGTCGACACGGGTGTAGAGTCTTCAACCAGCAGAGCTAGTTTAAGTTCCTGGCCGAAGGAGAGGGCTTTCTTCGGCTTCTCAATAACAGGTTGGATTTCTCTGGAAGCTTTTTGGATGTTGTGCTTGGCCTTGGGGCTAAGCGATCCAGAGGAAAGAGCTTCCTCGTACTTGGCTTGATCAAACTCTACAACGAGAGTTTCAACGGTCGTTCCAGCGAGGTGAACGTCGGATTGCGCCACCACTTCCTCATCAGAGAAGCTAGTCCCCAGCGGAGTCGCCATCTTTTGTTTGTTGAAAATTTTATAGTACAAGAAATAATGAAAGAATTGTGTTTGATTTTATTCTCTCTAACTGCTTAGACAAAGAATGTTTACAAATCTCTCAACTCTCATTTACAATTGGATTTCCTGATTACAAAAGAGAAGAGAATGATCTGGATTCTCCCCTTTGTTTAATTCTGGGTTCTTCACGGTGGCGATGGAGTGCTTCTTTCGAATGCTTACGTCGAACTTGCTCTCCGTTGACGATCCGAACGTCTCAACTTACTGGAATGTGCAATGCATATGCATTATACTAGTTTTATAAAGACAACCATCGTGAACAATACTATTTGCTTAACATGTAGAGGAATAGGAATAATGCCCAGAGATATTAACTAAAGGGGAAAAATTTATGGCTTAATATGCTAAAGAAGCCCCACCAATGCATATGCATTATACTAGTTTTATAAAGACAACCATCGTGAACAATACTATTTGCTTAACATGTAGAGGAATAGGAATAATGCCCAGAGATATTAACTAAAGGGGAAATTTTATGGCTTAATATGCTAAAGAAGCCCCACAAATATTCGAATCTTACATCTATGTTACAACAAAAGTATAAAGCATAAAACATCCAAATCAACATCATATGAGACTTTTTTATATATAATACAGAACTTGAGGAAGAGAACAAATAACAAACTAATACTACACAACATTAAAGCCACTATAACTGAAATGTTACCAAAGGAGGCAGAAGTGCGATGTTATAGAAAAATATCCAGCTACAATTAGAAATATTATATGTCAGGCTAGAAACATATACAAAAATGAAGTTAAGATTAATATTTGACCCACAACAGATTGAATTCAACATAATGCAACCTTATCAAGGCCTCAAACAACAAGATATAGGAAATTATTCCCCATTATCACATGGTCAGCTATAAGGCACAGCCATTGTTCCAGGATAATACTCAAATGCTCATTTCCCATCTAATGGTTTAATACCCACAACGATTCAGATCCTCCCCGATTAGGTGGTAATTGGAGAATCTCCACAACTAGTGTCATTACAGAGGAAGCAGCCGAACAACATTTAACTTTAGCAAAGGAAAAAAACACTACTTCATTATTCCATAATTGCTCAGATTTAGTCACTGCATTCACTTTGGTGTTCCATATTATAGGCTTCCTCAAACACTCTTTACGTTCATAAAACTTGTGTCCGGTAACTATTGTCATTGCAACTTACAAGTCGGGCCTCCATCTTATACACGTTTTCTAAGACAGCACATCTCCCCTAGCATATATAACTTGTTTTTCAGATTGAAGGGAATATGTAACATGCAGGATTCCGCTCCATCACATAGGCATTTTGTCAAACAGTAAATATGAAGCCTAAGATAATACTCAACGTGATCATTCCCGATCTAACAGTCTAATGACCATAACGTACGCCTTTACAAAGGAGATCACATCAACTTAATCAAAGATACAAGCACTAAATCATTCTTCAGAAATCACGAACATTTAGCAACTACTTTCACCGCCAACATACCATTCCACTATGACATACATAGGCATTTTGTCAAACAGTAAATATGAAGCCTAAGATAATACTCAACGTGATCATTCCCGATCTAACAGTCTAATGACCATAACGTACGCCTTTACAAAGGAGATCACATCAACTTAATCAAAGATACAAGCACTAAATCATTCTTCAGAAATCACGAACATTTAGCAACTACTTTCACCGCCAACATACCATTCCACTATGACATGCATATTGGTGTTCCACACCGGACACATTTTCTCAAACACCTTGCGTTCATAAAAATCGTGCCCAGCTAGCAGGCCAGCCGTCCGTCTCACGAGCATTTTGTCAAACAGCAAATACGTCGAGAAAAACACACCACTCAATCTCATAGGCATTTTCCCAAACACCACATATTCAAGAGAGCCCATTCAACCAGAGAACACAACAAACAACATATCGCTCTATCTCATAGGCATTTTCCCAAACACCACATATTCAAGAGAGCCCATTCAACCAGAGAACACAACAAACAACATATCGCTCTATCTCATAGGCATTTTCTCAAACATCACATATTTAAAAGAGCTCATTCAACCAGCGAACACAACAAACAGGAGGAACCTTATTTACATTTTTTTTTTTTTTTGATTTGAAAAAGGAACCTTGATCACAACTATACTAGATACCTTATGGATAGTTCGAGAAGAAACATCACTAACAAACTAAACATTACAACATCTGAAAACGAACATGAGCAAGGAAAAGAGCTTAATATTACATAAAATACCCAAACCAAATCCGGACCTTCAGAAGTCCTCATCCATCTTGAACTCGAGGATGGTCCCCGTCCCATTCCCGTTCAAGCTTGACATCACCGACGCCTTCTGGTAATCCCCTACCCTCTTCTCGAAGAAGTTCGTCTTCCCCTGCAACGAAATCAACTCCATCCAATCAAACGGGTTCGAAGCTCCATACAACTTTTCAATCCCCAAAGCCCCCAACAAGCGGTCAGCCACGAATTCAATATATTCACTCATCAGATCCCCATTCATCCCGACCAAAGCAACCGGCAGAGCATCGCAAACAAACTCCCGTTCGATATCAACAGCATCCTTCACAATCCCCTTCACACTCTCTTCGCTCAGCTTGTTGTTCAGCAGAGAATACAACAAGCAAGCGAAATCGCAATGGAGGCCTTCGTCTCGAGATATGAGCTCGTTTGAAAAGGTTAACCCCGGCATCAATCCGCGCTTTTTAAGCCAGAAAATGGCACAAAAGCTCCCGGAGAAGAAAATCCCTTCGACGCAAGCAAAAGCGATCAATCTCTCGGCGAAAGACTCTGAGCCATCGATCCACTTCAGCGCCCACTCGGCCTTCTTGGCGACGCAAGGGATGGTCTCGATGGCGTGAAAAAGGCGGCTCTTTTCATCGGAGTCCTTGATGTAGGATTCGAGGAGAAGCGAGTACATCTCGGAGTGGATGTTCTCGATGGCGATCTGGAAGCCGTAGAAGGCCCTGGCCTCGGCGACCTGGACCTCCTTCATGAAACGGCCGGCGAGGTTCTCCAGGACGATGCCGTCGGAGGCGGCGAAGAAGGCGAGGACGTGGGTGACGAAGTGGCGCTCGTCGGCGGTTAGGGTTTGGTCCCAGTGGCGGATATCTTGGCTGAGATCGACCTCCTCGGCGGTCCAGAACGAGGCCTCGGCCTTCTTGTACATCTCCCAGATCGAGGGGTACTTGATCGGGAACATGCAGAATCGGTCGGGGTTGGGGGCTAGGAGGGGCTCGTCGGCGATGGGGGAGGGCATTGAGGGCATTTTCGGAGGGGTATTTCGGGAACAAAGTTGGGTATTTCGGGGAATAGATTTGAAGGGTGTGGAGACGATTGGGGGGTTTTGGGGGAAGTTTTATAGGGGTGGTGAGGGTGAGACGCGGGGGATTTGAAATTTTTGGGGGTTTTGAGTTTTTTGGATATTTTGGTGGGAGTCTTGCGGGAGAAGGAGGCTGGGGTCCGGACACCGGGCAGTGCTGTTACCGCTTCAGGATTGACCCTAGGGATGGGGGTTGCAAGTGGGTCGGGTTAAGTTTGATGGAACCTGACCCGAAAGCTTTTTTTAAGGTCGAAAATTTTCAACCTTTTAAACGGGTCGGGTTTTGAGCTGATTAACGGGAAAATATAATAATCTTATTAAGATAGAAAATCACACGAGAAGCAGATCACGAACATGCGTCGCGCTATCAGTAACAAGACTGATCTATCTATTGACTGTGTTGATTCATTACTCTGTTTGTATTGACATTTTAACCGTATGTATCCATTTTTGTTGGGTGTGCTTATTTTGTATGTAGATTATACTAATTTGAAAAATTGTTAACATACACCTGACATATTCTTCTCACTTCTTACATAGACTTGTACATTGAACTTGCTATAAGATTCTTTTTTTTTTCTTGTTTAGTTGGGTACAGCTAGAAAAATTATAACTATAATTCAACTGAGATATTCTACATCAATTATAACTATTTGCCTCTCTACAATTAGAAAAGTTTAGTTGTAGCTGTAAAATTAAAGTGTCAGCCATCAACTATTTGCACACATTTGAACATAATTTCACCTACAATGTTTTGGAGTTGAAAGACAGGATCAACTATATTTCAATACTTACTATGTTGTGAGGGTTTGTTGGGATTGTGTCAGATATCGGATCCAATTCAATTTACTAAACAAACATTTCAGATTCGAGTTCAATAATAGGCGGGTCGGGTATGGGGAATGTAAGAGTCTCGTAACCGTTTCCTTTTTTTTCCCAAATTTGAACCGAACTTTTTGGCAGGAAAACTTTTTTTTTTGGCGGGCGAAAGATAGACACGAGGGCTAGTGGCAGAGGAATTTACTTCTGTGGGTGGATAGTGCATACCATGGATTGAAGCGTGCCATGTGGCCGTTGACACGCGCAAACTTGCTATCGGATGGTGCATTGAGCCGAGTTCAGTAATTTTCTCTCAAAAAGATATCGAAAATTTTCAACTAGCGTGACTCCCGCGCGCTCGTATTTGATGACAGAAAATGATCTTTTGTGTTCCCTCTCAGTTCTCAAAATCTAACCCCGTACCCGTAGAAAACGATCTTGCCTGCTCGTATATTGGGGATAGAAAAGGATCTTTTTGTTGCCCGCTCTAAAAATCTCGCTCGTAGGATAGAAAATGATCGTTTGTGCCGACTTTACCGGTTTGCTTGATTTCTAGAAATTATATCTACAACAACAGATTTAATTTATAAAGTTTACAACTATTTTGCCCACTACAGGTGATCTAGACTATTGAGAGGTTCCAATATGGCTCTCACGGTCGTTTGGTTATAATTATTTTGCCCACCATAGGTGATCTGGACAGTGGAGATATCCCAATATGGCTCCCACAGTCGTTGGGTTCGATACTTAGGGGTGTCCAAACGGGTCGGGTCAGGACGTTTTTTTGGTGATTTTACTTTTTTATTTCTTTAAATTTTCAATAATACATAACCAAAAATTAAATAAAATTTTAATAAAAACAATCATATTATTAATCACTTGAAATTACATAAATTACAAATACAAAAAAATATAAAAATTAAAATGATGAAAATAATTTCTCTATTAATAATCAGTAATTCATCTACAATTATAAATTTATTTTGAAATTCATCGCATCACAATAGATAATTACATCCCAACTAGGTTAGCACCTACCATATTATTAATCACTTGAAATTACATAAATTACAAATACAAAAAAATATAAAAATTAAAATGATGAAAATAATTTCTCTATTAATAATCAGTAATTCATCTACAATTATAAATTTATTTTGAAATTCATCGCATCACAATAGATAATTACATCCCAACTAGGTTAGCACCTACTCATCTATATCACTATCATTTGTAACTGTTTACAGAATAATTTATCACAAAATTTTAGCTAATAAATAAAAATTATAATTTGATGAATAATGTTTACTCTTTATATCTATCTGCTAGTCCCAACTCTTTAAATTTATCTTCAATACCAGTCATCCGATCGATGCCTTGCGTTCTCTTCTCGTACATCCACCAATCTTGTAGGCACATTACCATCTGTACAGCATACAAATCTAACGATGTCATGTGGTCGTGATCAAACGTCCTGGTCCTGCTGTGTTGAAGGCGGATTCTAAAGCTACCGTGAAAACATGCACTGTTAGTAAATCACAAACCATGATGGAAAGTATAGGATATAAAACTGTTCCATATACTTTCCACCATTACAAAAATATCTAAACTAGTAGCATGTGAGACGTTTATGTGGCAATTATGAACATGGATGTGTGCACTATGTATCAGTTTATGTAAAATCATGCAAACACACAACTTGCGAATATAACATGCACATACACATTCTGCTAAAAAAAGACATTCATATACACATACATAGTGCACATATCCTGGAAACCATTATGTACATGTAACCTGGATAAACATACACATGCATGTTTGCGTCGAAAGTTGGTTTATTTATCGAATTCATCACACGTTTATCGATTACAATGAATTCAAAAGAGTTAGTCTTTTTATAAGACTACTCGCTTACACAAATAAAACAAAAATTACAACTCTCTTCAAATACACGCAGAGGACGTTTATCAGCATTGCTTGTGTGGGATCTTTGCCTGTACCGGGGTTTATCCATGGACCACAGCAGATCAGATCCTGTTGATCGGAATAAAAGATCAAAGCTCTTACTTCACAAGCTCTTACTTCACAAAGAAAACAATCGTAGAAGTAAATAATCTCGACCAAGCGAGATTACTACTCTTCTCGAGATCAAAACCAAGTTTGATCTGGATGAAAGGGGAATGAGCCTCGGATCTCTTGAACTCTCCCTCTTTATGTTGAAGAACTTCGCCAAGATCTGCTAGCCTCTCTGAAATTCGTCAGAACCTCATCCTAGCCCCTCTGAAATTCGTGGCTCCCTTCATATTTATCTTTATGAGGGTGCTAGGGGTGTATTTATAGATTTTAAATGACGTGTTTGTGGATAGGATCGAAGAACAACCGTTCTTATCCATTTAGGTGAATTTTCGATTGTGTAACAGCTTCCACATATTTAAAGATATCCCCGCATATTTATGGATGACCCCAAGGAGTTCTAGAAGCCAATCTTATCAGAAAATACGTAGGTGTTTGTGGAAAATTTTGTAGTAAAAGAAATAATGAAAGAATTGTGTTTGATTTGATTTTATTCTCTCTAACTGCTTAGACAAAGAATGTTTACAAATCTCTCAACTCTCAGTTACAATTGGATTTCCTGATTACAAAAGAGAAGAGAATGATCTGGATTCTCTCCTTTATTTAATTCTGGGTTCTTCACGGTGGCGATGGAGTGCTTCCTTCGAATGCTTACGTCGAACTTGCTCTCCGTTGACGATCCGAACGTCTCAACTTACTGGAACGAATGATCTGTCTGGTTGATAACTCTTGACGAGTATTGTAGCTCAGAATGAGTAACAAACTCTAATAAGAAAAGAGTTATTTGAACCGAAAATAATTCGTTTAATAAGCCCAGTATCGAATGTCTGGAACTCTTCAATTTGTTGAAGATCGTTGCCTCTAGATTCTCCTCTCCAAATCCGATCCCTAGATCTCTATCTCCGAACCTTTCAAAAAATCCTCCCAACTCTGTTGAGTTTGTTGATATTTATAGGGAGATTACGGGTGTAACTGCCATTATAATCCGCACCCAAATGAGGGTTTAGTCGCCTCATCAATCGGTTGTAACAACCCACGTAAACCGCTCCTTAGATCGTTGGTGAGAAATGGTTTTCGAAACTGCATGGATCACGTTTGAACGGGTTAGAACCTTGACTTGCGTTCTTGCATAGATTCTGTGCTTAAACACAACATCTGGAAGTGCGTTCCGCAGCGGTTAGAGCTGTGTTCTGCAGCTGATGGAGCTGCGTTGTGCAGCGGTTTGGAGCTGCGTTGTGCAGCGGTTTGGAACTGCGTTCTGCAGCAGTTAGAGCTGCGTTCTGCAGCGGTTGTAGCTGCGTTCTGCAGTGATTGGTGCAGCGGTTTGGAGTTGCATTGTGCAGCGGTTTGGAGCTGCGTTTTGCAGCGGTTAGAGCTGCGTTCTGCAGCAGTTGGAGCTGTGTTTTGCAGCGATTGGAGCTGCGTTCTGTAGCGGTTGGAGCTGCGTTGTGCAGCGGTTTGGAGCTGTGTTCTGCAGTGGTTGGAACTGCGTTGTGCAGTAGTTTGGAGCTGCGTTCTGCAGCGGTTGGAGCTGCATTCTGCAGTGATTTGAACTGCGTTCTGCAGTGGTTGAAGCTGTGTTCTGCAGCGGTTAGAGATGCGTTCTGCCTTTGTCTTTATATATGGATGACACCAATGACCATTCGAGAAGGTCCTATTCAGGCCATTTGTGACAATTGAGGCATCCCAATAACGCTCTATCAACTACGGGTCACGATCTCCACTAAGATCTCTTTGCATGGCTTTAACCATGCACTTCTCAGCATGTCGAATATTTGCTCACAGTTCTCTAGATCTTCCTGCTTTTCTAAAATCATTACACTGCTCATCAGCGCCTCTAATAGTTGCTAATATAATATTAGTCATGTTGTTGTCGCAGCCATCAAGATCAATCATCTCAAATATGAGGATGTGTTTATAGCTGAGGATGCAATGATTGTGTTGCTTCGACTTTTGGAATGCAGCCAGTTGTATTTTGACTGTAGGGGTGAGTTCTACCTCTCGATTTGAAGAAATCGTTGACTTGTAATTTATTCATGGTCCATGGGGCGTCCCTCGATTGTAGCTTTCTGTTGATAACAAGAAAGTCGTCTGATAGTAACTTTCATTGTTAGAGCTTGATGGGGATCAGCTATCCATTGTGATTTTTAGACAGCCTACAGAACCCTCTCCAAAGTTTTCG